TCCCTGCGCGGGTCCGGCTTCCTACGAACCGGCCTCCAGGGCTCCAGCCTCGGCTCTACGGAACGCGCGGCTTTTTCAAAGTTCCGCACAGCTCCAGGCCTAGCCGCGCTCCTTTACTTGCTCGTTTCTTTCTTTCTTTTTTTTTTTTTTTTGAATGAATGGGCTCCCCGGGGCCCCTGATTGGCTGGGCGAGGACCACCCCATGGCCCCCGTGGCCTGAGCGCCCAATCGTGGTGAGGAAGGGTGCGTGGTTTTCGGGGCGCAGTGGGCGCAGGAGCCTTGCCCTGGCCCCGCCTTGGCCACACCCCTACGCTCATCCCGCGGGTAGTAGTTGCAGGCCCGCTGGTGGACGAGCTAAAGCCCGCTGGTTTTCTGCCTCGTCACAGGAAGCCCTTTTGTGGCACCCTCGTTAGCCGACCTGGATCTCCAGTCAGACGAGTCATGGTCAACCACACAACTAATGGGTCTTGGCTGCCTGTCACTACTTGAGCCAGTTAAGCAGAGACAGGGTTGGATCATATATGCGCCTTTCTTCCAATAATGTGGGCAGCATGGGTGAGCAGCAGGTCATCCACAAAAATCTGCTCTCCCCTTCCCAGAGCCAACTGCTTATATTGGGTAGGAGGCAAAGATTACATGGGAGAGAAAGAATTCCAGGCATGGGAAAGGAGGCGAGGTATAATGGTTACAGGTTACAGGCAATGAGGGCTGGGTGGGAGGTGGGGGGTGTCTCCAGGCACCTCGGGGACAGGCAATAGGGCCTAGGGGCTGCAAAGGGCAGGTGCCTCCAGGACGAGATTGCTGCAGCCAGGAGGTTGTAAATCTTTCCATATTAGTAGGCAGTTCTCGGCAAAGGAGGGTGGACTGCATTCCGATGTTGGCTCCCATGTCCCAGGGTATACAACTCTCAGCCATGTTAGAATGTGCTTCCTCCAATTAGAACAGAACCATCACGATTAACAGAGCACGATTAATATTTCTTATAATTGTAGCTAGTCCCCAATATTCTATTTCTGACCCTAACAGTGGGGCAGACCAGGAAGGAGGGAGCCAGGAGGAAGAGTCTGTTTTCTGGGAGGGACCCGAGGATCCCGAGGCTGCATGTGCACCCCGGCTGTGTTGGTTGCAGGTGATCTTTTCTGAGTTTGGTGTTTGTACATCGGGGGCAACTGCTTTGGAAGTTCCTTCTTGGGGTGCACACGGTTCCAGATGTCTGTGGGACTAGAAGCGAGTTAGCAGGCAGTTGCCACGGTGGAGTGTAGTTCCAGGAACAGAAAAACAGGATTTTTAGAAATAGAATCAGGTGGCCATTCATTCTCTGTTACTGGGCGCCTACTGTGGGCAGGCACTCGGGCACTTGGAGAACAGGCCCACCTTACTGGCCAGGGGAACAGGATCTGTGGGAGGAAAGCGATGGGTGGACAGACCCTTAGCGTGGGGGGGGGCATAGAGGGAACACCTGGACAGGCACCATCTGTTTAGTCCCCAAGGTTTTATTTTGTTTTTTAAATCCTCACCGGAGAACATGTTCATTGATTTTTAGAGAGAGGGGCTCGGGGGTGAGGAGAGAGAAACATCAATGTGAGAGAGGAATATCAATCAGTTGCCTCCCTAACTTGCCCCAGCCGGAGATAGAACCTGCAATCTAGGTATGTGTGCTGACAGGGAATTGAACCCATGGCTTTCTGGTGTATGGAATGATGCTACAACCTACTGAGCACACCGGCCAGGGCAAGGTTTTTGTTTGTTTGTTTATTTTTAAACTGGGTTTGCCAGTCAGCCACTGGGTTCATTTTCTCAGACCCAACCCAGAGTTGGCTGTGTGACTAGGGCACATCTTTTCCTCCTGCCTCAGTTTCCTTACCTGAACACTTGGACTAATGATTCCTGCTCTTTTGTTTTGTTTTGTTTTTTAATATATATTTTTAGATTGGTTTCAGAGAGGAAGGGAGAGGGAGAAAGAGATGGAAACATCAATGATGAGAGAGTCATTGATCCCCTGCACGACCCCCACAGGGGACCGAGCCCACAACCTGGGCATATGCCCTGACCGGGAATCGAACAGTGACCTCCTGGTTCAGAGGTCGACTGAGCCACGCCAGCTGGGCTCCTGCTCTGGTTTTGAGGACCAGGTCTAGTAATGTAATTGGAAGTAATGAGACTAACTCACTGACCATTAGCTGTGTGCCAACTACTATGGCTGTGCTTATATAAACTCCTTTAATCTTCAGAATAGTCCTATTTTAAAGACTCTACTAACAGAGGTACTGAGAGATGAATTTACTTGCCCCACAGCTATTGAGTTACCAAGTAGGAGCTTACATTTAAGCATCTGACTCCAGGGTCCTTAGACTAATCGTGACTCGACCATTACCCAGTGCTACTGAAGTTATGAATATGGCTGAGCTGGGGTAAAATATTATGAGTCTCATTGTGGGGAGTTGTTCTCTGTGGTCCCTTTACAGCAGGAGTGCTGAGGATGAGGCAAAGAAATGAAAACTACATTTCTGACCATGGCCAGGTGGCTCAGTTGGTTGGAGCATCCTCCTGTACACCACAAAGCTTTGGTTTCAATTCCCCATCAGGGCACATACAAAGGTTTTGGGTTCAACCCTTGGGTTGAGGCGAGTATGGGAGGCAACCAATCAATGTTTCTCGCTCTCCCTTCCTCTTTCTCTCTAAAATAAATCAATAAAAGCATATCCTCCATTGAAGATTAAAAAAAAATACCTGAATAGTCCTGGTCCAGTGTTGGTTGAGCATTGTCCCATGAACCGAAAGGTGGCCAGTTTGATTCCCAGTCAGGCCACGTGCCCAGATTGCAGGTCTGTCCCATGAGTATACAATAGGAGGCAACCAACGGATGTTTCTCACAACAAAGTTTCTCTCTCTCCCTCTCCCTTCCTCTCTCTCTAAAATCAATTAAAACAAACAAACAAACAAACCCCCCCCCCCCCTGTATTTCTGGTCTAGTTATACCTTATCTCCCTGATTCTTTATAATAGCAATCTTCTGAGAGTGGCTGTGAAGAGTAGACCTTTTTCTTATCATCCTGTTTGTAGGTAAGGGTCTGGCTCAGAGAAGTTGAGTGACTTGCCCAAGATCACACAGCAGACAATGACAGAACTTGGTCAAGATGTCCGCCTGCCTCCTAGCTCTGGGGCACTATTTGCTGGGGGAGGGGAGTGGGGTGTGGAAGGATCTAGGAAGGTGACCCAGGTTTTTGAAAGTCATACTCTGAGTGTTGAACCTGTTGCTTTTCATCTTTATGCGAGGCTCTGGGCAAGATGAGTGTGAAGTAGTGGGTGGCTGGGTGGCCCCAGATGGGACCAGGGGAGATCTGATGGCCAATCTGGGTTCCTGGTTTCATCCTGAGATAGATGGGGTGGGGTCATAGGCAGAGAGTGAAGAAAAACAGATGACATTGATATCTTGCAGTGGAAGAAGGGTTGGGGGCTTGGCTGCTAGTACCAAGTATCAGTTCCACACTCTTGTCTTCTCTGAGTTTGTGTCCTCCTTATCTGCTGAGTGGGGGTAGCTGTTCCTCCGTCATAGGTTACACGTGTGAAAAATGTTCACGCAGGGCTGGCAAAGAGAAGGGAATGGATGACTGTTCACACCTCCAAGGCCTTTAGAAAGGGGCCCCTAGGAGCCACAAAAAGCAACCTTGAAGAAAGGAGGTGGGTCCAATTGTTCACAAATGATCTTTCCTCACTTCTTCCTTCCTCATCTGGGGGTTTCCCCCTCATTCTGGGCCACCTGCCCAAGCTGCATTTCTTTGAACTATCCTCCCCTCAAGTCTGTTGGCTTCTCCCTGAGCAGCCTCCCTGCCTTATATATAAATGACCCCTTTCTTTGGCACGTCCACCCTTCCACTCCATGACAGCTGCCCCACCTTTGTACCCTTTGACCTGCAAAATGGGTGTTGCAGTTTGTAAATGAAGTCTGTGAGAGGCAAAAGGAGTTCAAGCTCCCAGAGGGCCAGAATGCAGCCTGTGAATACCATGCACTGGTGGAGGCTGGGGAAGCACAGGAAAGCTTCCTGGAGGAGGAGATAGATAGACCAGGCCTTGAAAGATGGTAACTAATGTCATTCATTCCCTTAGAGCTTACCATTTAACAATAGGTAGTACAGCCCCCATATTATAGAGGAGGAAACTGGGGTTAGAAAGGTGAAATTACTCTCCCAAAGTCACAGAGCTCGTCGGGGTTCGAGGCAGCACTCAAACTAAGGCCTTCTATATCCTCGTCCTCGGCCACCGCAGGTGGGACTCGGCCCTCTGGAGATACGGGACAGAGCTGGCGGGCTGGGGAGAGGAAAGGCTCCCAGAGTGTCAGTTCCCAGCTCAAAGGCCTTCAAAGTGTAGGAAGGGGCTGGAAGCTGGAAGGCCAGGCCCCAGGGGTGGCCCAGCCAGGGGAAGTTGGGTGGGTCCCTGGCTGTGGACGTGGGTCACGTAGGCCAGCTGGCCCCTTGGCCTGTTTCCTGTTGCTCTGTAGTGTCTGGGGGCAGACATGGGGGCTCTGGGCTCTGGCCAGCCCTTTGCTCCCAGAGTAACAACAGTGAACGCTTACTGAGCACTTGCTGTGGGCCGGGCGTTGTGCTGAGATTCTACATGCATCGCCTCAAGCTTCTGGGTTCTATAAAATGGGCAACTCTATGAAGTACCTGCGTTATTCCCATTTTACAAAGGCACGAAGGAGTTAAGTAACCAGTCCCAGCGTGTATGGTTTTTAAGCGAAATTGCCGTGGTGTGAATGCAGGCACCCAGCTATGGAACCTGTGCTGTCTGAGCACTATCCGGTGGCCTCGGGCAAGTCCT